GAACTCAAAACAAAATTATTAAAAATGGAAATGAGGGGAGGCGAAAAAGGAGCTGAAAATAGAAGCTTGAAGCTTGAAGCTATGGACGGGGTGTGTGTATCGGTGTATCTATTTCTGTATGGTTTGTAAAACCATCTACGCAATATTAACTACAAAGTTGAGTTTTCAACGATGATAAGAAGAAGCATGATGGAAGGTAAGTAAGGTAAGGAAGGCAAAAAAGAGACATCTCGGGGTTCCCGTCCCCTCCCCTCCCCCACTCACCTCCTTGTCATACCCCAACCACCAACAACAACAACAACACTCGATGACAGATTGCTGCTACGCCCTTGGAGAAAACAGGGGGGTGTGGAGAGGGGAATTGGGGGGGGTTAGGTATGACGGGGACAAAAAAGCCTGAAAAGCCGACTGAACCGGGTTCGGATGGGGATTATTACTCCAGGGTCACATCAGGTTCACATCATGGTCTGAACCCATCTAGTATAGTTGCTGGATAGATAACATCATCATCTAAACTAGTTCGATTCACCGAATTACTACGATTAGCTTAAATTACTACGATTAGCTTGGTGGTGTTGGGTCCACGAGATCTTAGTATAGTTAGTTCTATTTAGCTTTTTCGATGGAATAAGGATGGATACATGCAGATCAGGGAGAAAAGTGTGTGTGTGTGTGTGTGTGTGAGAGAGAGAGTGTGTGTTTGCGCGCATGTGTTCATGAAAGTATATCGGGGTCGGCTAGATCAAGAAAACCCGGTCGGGAATTTGCGTCACTTGTTGGATGGAAGCTGTTCGATTGAGTTAGACGTGCGGTTTTTGTCGGAACTTTGTACATGTCTTGGAAGGTTAACTTTGTTTTTTTTTTCTAATTCTATTTATTTTGTTCTGTCCATGTGCTTTTTTTGGTTTTGGGTTAGGCATATTGGTCCGAGGTATTATTATAGTTGGCATGGCATGGCATGGCTTTTGATGAAGTTTGATGGATGATGAGTTGGTGAAAGATATTGTTTGTCAGGTATCAAGATCAACTTCAGCTGGATGAGGTGCAGCAGCAGCTCGTAATCAGCCCCTGTTAGAGTTGGAAAACGGTCGCAAGCATTCTTCAACTTGTCTGTTCTAGACTCTCTCTCGCTCTCCCGTGAAGACTCGAGCTCAACAACTGCCGTATGCGATTGAACTGCCGTGGAGGCTATTGCGCAGTGCCGTTGGAAATAAGCAGGTCATCTGCGTAAGCCTTGCAGATTTACTGGGCGAGAAGAATTCAAATACTATCTATAGTAGGATCTCGTATCTGTCTACTTCTGTCTACTTGGTATATTCGTTGACACATTGGCATATGGTATTGTGTAATGGTATGCAACCGGAATAGCGGACTAATCCCCAGTATAAAGTTGGGTATAAGTTGCATTGGCCCTGGTCTCGTGCGCACTGACATCTTCATTGCTTCAACCACAATGACGTAACGCGGGTACTCCCAGGAAAACCGGAGTTGAAGTAGTACTATGGAGTGGACTCTTCTTACTAGTGAATTAACTACTCCGTAGATTGTTGCATTCAACAGAATCCCTCGGACCGCTGTGATCCGTTCATGTATGTCGAACAGGTCGCATTCCTTAGCTGAGACTAACTAGGTGTCATCAAATTAGCTGGGTAACTAACCACTGCAGTAAGTAGACACCAGAATAATAACACGCACAAATGGTAACCAACCGAATTTCAACCCGCAAAAAAGCAAACATAAGCACAATCCCGAAAAAGGATCGGATCGGATCCATTGGAAGGAAGAAAAGCATACTGTGTACTCTGTAAGGAAAGTAAGAAGAGAAATTACATTATTTTTTTTTTTGCTTTTCCCTCCTGATTTTCCTCTTAATTCTCCACAATATCTCCCTGAATCTCCCGATCACCTGCACCAATGACGACTCGAGTTCCCTGGCAAACCTGCAAACTCTGACGTCCGAGTCTGCCCGAAAACGTGGAGCAAAAGCCAGCCCGTGGTTCTTTCAAACACCCAGACCACGGCGGTGGATCCAACCCCGACCACCAGTGCAAAGCGGCTGAGGGGGAACTTGGCCCAAAAGAGTTTACTGCCCCTACAGAAAGTCGGGGTGGACGCCGCGCGAGTGGTTTTTTGTCAGCTGAGAGGGGGGGTGGTTTCTCTCCACTCTTTCCCTTGTGTCAATTCCCAGCTTACCTTGTTGCTAAGTAGTTTAGTTTTTCAAATTGCGGGTCTTCTTTCTCTTGTGGAGCGAAATTTGAGATCGGGCAGCCAAGTGATTCGTTTCCCCCCCGGAACAAAGTAGCCTTCACCGGTACTGTGAGTGCTGTTATACAGTGACACTGTATCTGAGTGACAGGTGCTGTACTCGGGCTGATTCGGGATGGTTGTATTCTATCCATCCTTACTAATTCTCACCTTCAGCCTCCCTCTTCCATATCGATCGCTATACGGACTATTCATCCATCAACCTAATAATCTTGATTTCTTCACGCTCGTTTCACTGCCTTGATGGCTGCTTGAAGTGGAGCAGTAACACCTACTACATACATCACCTTGAATCAATCAACCCTCGACACCCTGCTTACTAGATAGTTCTAAATTTCTCTCCATTATTTCCTACCCTGTAGAGAGATACACACACACACCGAGGCCCTGAAACAATAATACGTACCATGAATAATAACAACCAATAACCAACGGTGCCCGACCGAGCCAACTGAACAACCAACCAACGAGCGAGCCAACCAGCAACCGGCAACTAAGTACCCGGCCCGACTCCCCAATGCAGCTCGGCATGCCGAAACTTCCTCTCCTTCCATCCTGCATACACAATGGGGTATATTCGGAACAATACCAAACAAAAACTTAACTAACTTAAGACACCGAATTATCTTGATTATATCATTTGCTCTTCTATTTCTCCGAGAACATTCTGAATTCTATTTTCCCGCACACTGTCTTTTTTACCTTCTTCGCTGGCTCACCGTTTTTCACACGGCCCCATCATATGTACGTGTTCACTTTTTTGACCGCATATAACATATGCACACTAATTATGTGGGTGGGTGGGTGAATCTAGACTTGGCTATATTTACTTGTCTAGACTCGGAGAATTAGTTAACTTGTTATCCTGTTTTCTGTCTTCTTTTCTTGTTACTTGCTACTTGATAGTTTAGTTTACATTGCAGTAGTATGCCTCGGCACGTGGTCGGAGCGGGGAGAGAGGGAGAGAGAAAGGTTGTTTGTTTCAGCCTAACTATTATTATTTTTCATTTAGTTTCTTTTCTCAGTAGAGTATGTATGACGACGGTCGTTGAGGCTGACTGGGGCGTGCATGGATCCATTGATCGGGGAAATGCCGAGCTAGGTACGTATTCATTTTGCTTGGTTGTTTGTTTGTCACTCTGTCGTTAAGTAAGTTACCGCACTGGTCTGCTCCGTTGACCGGTCGGGGGAGGGCCCCCGCTTACTAGACTTGGCGGTCACATGATATCAGATTAAGAACATTTAGATCTATACAACTTACAACAATATTAACCAGCGTAGCAAAAAGAACGAAAAGAAACCGAAGAGAATAAAGGAAGAGAGAACACATCCACCTACCCATATTAATTACTACCACCATAATACCTAGTCCTAAGAAGATCCCCCGGCTGATCAAACCTCTCCCAAAGCACCCTCTCCGCCTCTAATTCATCATCATACCTCCTCATCACCTTCTTCAACCCACCATACCAATCCGGAACATCATAAAGCGTATAAAACGCCTTCGTATACTCCCAATACTCCGGAAACCATCCTGAAAACTGCCAATCAACTATCCCAGCAACCTTCCCATCACGAACAATAATATTCCGTTTAGCGATATCCGCATGTGTGAAACACGTCCGATAGTATGATGATCCAGATCGTTCATGACACTTCGTGACAGCTTCGCCGTATACTTTCGTAGTATCTTCTATTGGAATCGTCCCGCGCAGAAATTCATGAAATTCGTTAATGGATTTGAAAGGCCCAAACGGCCAGCTTCCCACTCGGATGTCATAACATTCTCCTAGTTCTGCGGAAGCTACAACGCCTTCCTGTGGTGGTGTGAGTTGTCGGAGTTGATCGATGTAGCTAGCAATTTCTTGGATCACTGCTTGTTTGTTTGTGGATGTGAAATTGGGGTTGCGCCATGTTTCTTGGAGGGTATCGCCCTTGATGTAGTCCATTTCGATGTAGACGCGTCCCTCGGGGGCTGGGTATGTGCGGTGGACTTTGGGAACGGGGATGGTGGTGTGTTGCGCGACGTATCGCAGGCCTTCTAGTTCGGCGGGGAAACATGGTCCTTTGATTAGTCGCGTGTCGCTGACTCTTACTACCTTCGGCGTGAAGGTGCCATAGCGCTTTTTGCCTAGCCATAGTCGTGTTCGAAGATAGAGTGTTACTATTGAATTGGATAGTGGCATAGTTGGAGGTATGATTTGAAGCCTGAAGTCAGGCAAAGCTGACTATGACTAGATTGATCTGCCAATCATTCAAAAGCTTGGCTACCATACTGATGGCCATGACATCTTTGGTTAGATACTTGGGTTGATCAGAGAGGTGTTGTTGAATGCATATGATTATGCTTCTCAAACCCTGATGATCACGTGATAAAGAATACTTGGGCGGCGTTGGCAGCGATTACCAGCCACTTTTTGAGGTTACTAGGTGGGTAGGTCCAGGTCAAAGCGTGGATGGATACGTAACAGCACGAGTGTTCATAATTTGAATGTGATTTGTATTAATTGTGGATCAAGTCTGTCTTCTGGTTGTCTTACAAAGAAAGGACTTGTGTAAAGCGAACTAACCACGGAGTAACTAGCGGAAGGATTATGTAGAGTAATACATCCATTCTTACGGCCCAGACAACCGGCTGGCCCCCTTCAGACATCCCGAGATCCTGATTCGACTACCCAGAATCTCAAACCACCGCTAGTATCAGCCACCTACCAGCTGTTTCCAGAGGCGAAAAAATGCCATCGGGAGGCGAAAATCAATCACATGCCATGTGTGAGTGTTTGGCGCTAACCACGTTTACGGTCGCAAGGCAACCGATGATGCCGATTTTGGTGTGGTGCGCCTTCGAGAAGTCTTCTAGAAGAGGTTTGGGGTTTGGGGATCGCAGTACGCATTTGGCTTAGAGCCGTATTATACTTTCGTTTTGTGTGGACGGATTTGTCGGTGTACTTGCCCGATGGGCTGGTATTGGTAATTTTCGGTATTTGGCGGGGGTGGGTTGTATGTAATCAGCTTGTATCGAATATCTTAGTCTGTTTTAGCGTATACACACAGGCGACGATGGGTTCAGGTTGCGGCTAGCAGACTTTTCTTTCCTGTATAGGCCAATGACAGTGGGGATAATTGGGCTATGAGGAAGAAGATTTTGATCTCCAGATCGGTGCCCGATGGTGAATAGTCGTAGCCTAGAGGGATCTTTTGGACGATCATTCGTATCCGCTCGTTGATACTGAAATTGTGCTTCTCACCTGACCATGTATATGGATTCTGGGTGCATGGGAATACCGAACATTGTGTAGACCGCCTCGGGTAACTTGATGATTGGCCCAACCTGTTCACCTTAGTGGCCGTCCTGACATGCATGCGCATACCAATTGACTTGTTAGCTTGGGAAAAGGGCTTTTTCCTTGTTGTTTTTACGAGAAGGAAAAGCTTGCTATCTCGGCCTTGGGTGAAACAAGCCACATCACTACCTTCGTCGTCATTATGGAGATAGGCGGACAACATGTTATCAACACCTTCCAAGTATAGCAACACAACACATCTGTGGCTGTTTGTGCATCGAGGCCACTCCCAGCATTAAGACTGAGCAGCCGTTTAACGTCAGTTACGGGCCCGGAGGACGTCGCTCCGATTGAGTTCATGCTATGCGTAGAACCCCGCTAGAGACAACATGGAACCGTCCATCGAAGGTCGAGACGATCCGCACTAGTTGTATCTGCCTTGCCGGAGGAGGCTAGCGTGTATCTTTGCGCGGCGAGATTCCGTCGGATGCGGGATTCCAGCACACAGAATTCCGCATACCAGGTGACCTGTTTGGTCGTTTCAATAAACACCATTGAAGGTTGCCGGGCATCGGGACTTTATTTCAATGGTTTAGTAGAATAGGTATAAATGAGTCTCTATTAGGCATGGATTGTTGGATTCAGGAACTACTGTATTGTTGGTGCTGATGGCTCAGGGCCAGGTCGTATGGACGGAGTAATCACGGAGAAACTGATCCCTTTCTGAGCTAGCCGGAAGAGCTAGGAGTCACATGATGGCAATGACTTTTTCTGGTGCGGCGTACCTCGAATACGCGCTATCCCGAGGTCACAACCAATGATATGTCTCACGTTACTTCGATTTGCTGGTTCACACTTGAAGCTACGGCGTCTTGAGAGTCAGGCGATTGCTTGATTTGCTGGGTGCAGTCAGTTGTAGATCAACCGTTCCCAAACCCCGATCCGTACATGTAGGCCTACCGCTTGTTTGGTTTGTTCCATTACCCAACACACACATTGTGAATGCCGTGTTATGCAGCCGGGGGGCTCGTAGCTGGCAGCTAGCTGTATTACCCTCAAATTAGGGTCCCAAGTCACGCTCCTGAATATCCTCGTCAGTGGGTCCAAGTTACATTCATCCGGGCTCAACTTACTCGATTCGTCCTAAGCCGCAAAAGCCACCTGCGAATCAGAACAAGCAGCGCTCTGTGCGCCTAGTTAGTGAGGGGGAGGCGCGGGGAGCAAGCCCTAGTCACGACGATGATTTGGCGGGGAAGTTGGGGACGCGTTTCTTAGTGAGGCTTTTCTCTGCCCACTCCCGGCGAGACTTATCACCATTCAATCACCGTAGCACAGACAAACGTACGCCCGGTATAATTTGAGTTGTGGCTTTGTTGAAGGATCAGGGATCGCATAGGGCTTGGGAAATTAATGTCACCATATGGTGTGGTACAATGGCGTCGGTGTCTCCCTGCATATCAAGATCGGAATGTTGGTGGGATTTGGAGCCAAGTGACCGGGTATTCCGCGGGGGTTTAGGCTTAGTGGTATTGCCCGGGTTCCAACGGGGTTTTTGTCGGTATCAATAGTCCCGTTTACATACGGGGGTACTTGTGCTGTACCACTCGCTTGCTTATTCAACTCGACTCGTTTGCATTGCCCGGCCTATGCTCTTTACCAAACGGGTAAATTAGAAGATGAAGTCGCTGACAGTGGTTCGAGAGGCTGATGGAGCGTTGCACTTCGCTGTCATTTGCTTTCTAGGAGGATGTGGATGAGAAACAGGATGCCCATGTCCATCATTACCCCGGGAATATTCCTATTGCGAATGCCAGCCGGAGAATCCTCAGTTTACCTGCTTTGTGCAACCAATGTACATTTGCAAAACAAGTCAACAGTCGTATCATCACCGCCTGGTCTGGAATCATCATAGCATCATCTGTGGCTGCTATCTCCGCTTGACTTTACCGCGGGCAAATATCGCTGGCCAAATCCCAGTGAATGAGGATCCAAAGTGTCGATGTGATCGATTAAGTTTAACTTCCTTTCTTCATGGAGGGTAACAGCGAGCCAATTTTCCGGTTATCAGGAGCTGTGCTGTGGGCATTGTTGGGTGGAACTCTGCCGAAGACTTGATATAGGACCCTTCCAACAACTTGGGTACACTAGGTTAGAACTTTAGGTAACCGTTCCACCTACTGACCTTCCTTATCTCGTAACTGTCGGTGTTCTGCCTTATTTGGGAGGTACGTAAATGTCCACATAGAGTATAACGTCCAGTAGGTGGAAGCCAACGTGAAGAAGATCAGTGGACATGCGCACTCCCATCATACAAGCCACAAGACGACGCCAGATGCCAGCATGGGGCCGGGAAAAAGCAAAGATAGACACACTGACATGTTAAGGTCAACGTCAAATGGTTACAGTCGAGAGATTGCACAGTATGTCCATTCCACAACCGGCGATACTTGCAGTCGGTTCTGACAGATCCAGAAGGTGGATGTTTCCCCAGATTCTCCCCGCGATGCCCAAAGATCGTCATCTGCCGGCACAATACGGGAGGGAGCATTGCCTCTCCTAGCATTCGTATCCAGTTCATCTGCCCAAAAAAAGGTGCGAATAAGGTGACCTGAAAAACACTCAGCACTGCCAGACCGACTTCCATCACGTGGTCACATGGCGGCTGGCATCACTGCAACAGTCAGCATCATTTGTACGCCCCGCGACGAGAATCCAAACCTCTACTAGATCAGGTACTTTTTTTTTCTCTCTCTTTTCATCTGCTCCCCATGTCTGCCGGTGATGAGAGCCGGAGGATTGTGTCTCTAGTGTTGTCCCTCCAGCATCCGTTGGCCAGGACCTGGCGACTGTCGATCTCCGGGTCACCAGATCTCTGCGTTGGCAATTCGATCACATTGCGGATGTGCCCTTGCTCCTCCTGGAATCCCGAGATTACGCGCTGACAAGTCATCAATTCAGTGACTTCTTAATATTGCTTAGCGACTTTCCCGCCGATCTTTTACGATTTTATGCTCCCCCTCCTTATTATTTTTTCACATCACACGCCCGTGATCCGGAGCAAGCAGGATACCTTGTCCTCGGGGCCCCAGTCAATGGATTCTAATCCTGGGAGATTATGGAGATGATGATGATAGAGCTACTTACTGCTGTCCTGTTTCGACAATGAGGTCAGCCTTTCACATTCACAAATCTGTCAGTCATGAGCCTCCGTCCCCTACATTAGGTATACTAGGTATAGTGCAGATTCATCCATTTCTGGATGCTTCCTCCGGGCTTCGTATTCCAGGTCCAGGCCTGTCGATCAGCGCCAATACCCACCCCCCATGTACTTTTTTCATGTCATTATGATCGCAATTTCATCCCATTTAGGTCTTCTATCTTGTTCTATTATCAGGCCTTCAACAACTATCCATAATACATCACTGGGTCTGACTGACACTTTCGGCCCGCAGCTTTTCTTTTTTTTTTTTGCTCAGTCACACGCTCCTTTCAACCTCCTTCCCCATATTATTGTTGTAATCCTTATTTTGACATACTCGGGCCCTTCTCCCGCAGGTGGCGCTGTATGTGTGAGTGTGTGTGTTTGCTGGCGCTCAGCCTCAGTGTTCGAAAGCAGGCTCTGGGTCGCATTCTGTACATTCATCCGCGGAACAGCAGGTCAAATGCCTCTCTCTGCTTTGCTTTGTGGCGAGATGGGGGAGAGGTCTAGCCTTATCCTCGCTGTTCTACTTGCCTTTTTCTTTTCCCCCTTGTTGATTTTGTAGGCGCCACCGTGTGCATGTGCGCGCGCCTTATCTCAATGCAGCTCTTTCTTTTGCCCTGTGGTTGGTATTTCGTATACGTGGTTTTGCTGGTACGCGGATGGCCACTGTATTGATGCGCATTTCAGGGTAGGTGGGCATTGTTAGCCCTCGGATGGATAGGGGGCGGGTTTCACAGGTGGTGGAACAATGACACGAGGGTCCTCACGTGCTTCGTTCATTTTCTTCCTCGGTTTGGACTATGGACTATGGACTATGGACTATGGACTATGGACTATGGACTATGGACTATGGACTATGGTCATGGTTCAGGGTTCGGGTGTTCGATCTTGGTGCTGACTGGGCAGCGGTCATATCTCTTTTTTTGACTATGGATTGGATGCTCTAATCATACAGGATGCTTATTAAAAGGTACTAGTTGGAAAAGACTGGAGATGAAAGGTAGCTTGCAGAGAAGCGGGCTTTAGTTCAAGGACCCCTTGGACTTGTCTTGGACGCGTCGCTCCCAGCCCACGATAGCAGGCTTCAAGGGACCGGAGAAGAGAGTCGAGTAATCGGTTCCTGGCACTCCTTTCCTGCCATCCACATTGAATAGCTTCAGGTGACGCACGATGGTCGCGATAATGACGCCCAGGTTAACGTAGGCGAACTTCTCTCCAATGCAGCGGTGGCGGCCAGCGCCAAAAGGCAGGTAGGGACTGGCAGTGCCCTTGGACACGCTGCCATATCCGTAGTCGACCATCTCTCCTTCTTCCTCCTTGTCGGGTTGGTTCTCCCAACGGTGTGGATCCCACCGGGTTGCGTTGGGGAAGTATTCATCACTAAGGGCTGTTACGCCTGGTGAGGCGAGTAGAACACGGTCTTCGGGGATAACGTAAGATGTGCCGGGTACTGGTAGTGGGTTCTTCACCTTGCGCATGATCGAGTGGATGGACGAGTGGATCCGTAGGGTCTCCTTGATGACACTCTGGAGAAGTGGCAGCTTGTCAAGGTCCTGGTACTGCAGCGGCTCGAAGACCCCGTTCCGGTTGCTGAGGCTGGCCAACTGTTCTTGATAGAGCTCTTCAAGCACTTGAGGCTCAGAGGCTAGTCGCAACATGATCCAAGAGCTGATTGAGGAAGAGGAGTGTTGCCCTGCCATCAACAGAGTGATCATCATGTGGGCAATCTCTTTGTCCGGTACTGGCTGTCCATTCTTGTAGGTGCAATGCATCAGGTTCCAGATCATGTCGGACTTCTCCTCGTCTGGGTTCTTGCGCCGTTCGTTGATGATGTCCGTGTAAATCTCCCTCATCCGAGCATGAGCAGCATCACGCTTCCGATTGTGCGGCAACGGAGCCCAAGGGAGCATAAAGTTAATGGGGCTGAACCCCTTGTCTAGATCGTGGTACAGTTCAGCGAACTCTGCAGTAAGCTTCTTGCGGACCTCCTCGCCCTGCAACGCGCGTGCAGCAGTATAGATTGTAATCTCAGCCATGGCAGCAGGAATATCAATAACTCCACTCGCGCCGTTGAACCGTGGAGAGTCCCGGAGATAGTCGAGGGTTTCCTTTTCAATCAGCTGGACGTGTGACTCGAGCGCCGCTTGCGTGAGGCCAAACTTGATGAATTTTTTTTGTTCCATCAGCTTGGAATTAGGGCAGTCGTACACAACGTCGGACCCGAACACTGGGGTGGTGAGAGGGCTGTAGACCTCTTCCGCGCTCACGTCCTTGAGTTTGCCATTGAGGATGAAATCGTTGCCTTGAACGCCCAGGTATACGGTGGTTTTTTTGCCCAGCAGCACGAAGGTGAAGATGTCTCCGTACTATTCAATCACCTTGGTCAGTAATCATTGGCAATCGCATAATGCACAGTGACTGACCTTTTTCCTGCAGGAGAAGAAGAATGCATAGGGATCCATTCCATAGCTGATTGTGCTTCCCAGGAAGGGTATCCAATGAAAGACAACAGGTGGTTCTTTCTCGTTGCGAACGAGCAATTGGCGCGCGATATTCAAGACTATCGCAACGAGCAACGCTGCGAAAGCGTAGACGCCTGCGACAGCAAGATATGCCATCCTGGAAGCGACCGTAGGCAGAGAAAAGGACCAATTGATGGGGAAGGTGTTTGTAAAGAAGAAATTCAGGAGCAAGACATCGAGGGAGTAGGTGGTTGTCGGCTCATGACTGTCTGAAGATTAACGTAAACATCTTTAGGCGCCACGACCTATTAGATATCACTCCCAAGATCTTACCCCTGGCACTGAGCTACATCGGTCCATTCCACTGCAATGGTTAGCAAATACTGTCAGCAATTGAAGGAGGCATTGCTCGCGGTGGTTCCTGAGCCGGATCAGACCACTTGGAGATCCTTTGGATAAAGTGTCGAACCATGCAAGGCTCCAGTGATGTTGACAGTCACTCTGGCCACTCACAGCTGTGTCTGGAGCATTTAGTGGATTGGGGGCAATCGTTGCCATCGTATTGGATACGCCCGCACATCATTGGACCATTCCTTCTTGCCTGGACCGGGTCTCCAAAACTAACCCCTTTTATCGTCAGCATCGCCACTATGTGGCTTCAACTGTGGGTTGCCTAGCTTTCGAGAGCTTTCTGCTCGGTTCACTTTGATATCAAACAGTCAACTGGATTTTAGACATCACCACTCAAGATGAGTCATGATGATGGCGACCAGCTTTTGACTCAAAATGCCAAATCCAGACAGTCATTCGCCTGCCTTACCCCTTTGGGACTAGCTGTCCCGTGAGCTCCACCCGCCGCCCGCAAATATACATCCGCTCCGATACCTGCTTCTTACCATGTAGTTCTGTAGTTCACCAGTCTATTCGTTTTATCCTACAGCAGCTCAATTAAAGGCATTCCAACATGAGCAACGCACAAACAGGGAGCTCTGCGGGTGCTAGCTCTGCTGCCGGTCAACGACCAGTGTCCAAAGCAGAAGCTTCGAACCCGCGAGAGTTCCAGCTCAACCAGCTCAGAAGACGGTTCAATCCGACAGAAACCAGCAATGACGATGGAACCACATTGAGTTTCGGCTTGGCTCCTTCGGATCCTGACTTTCCGTTTGATATGGACAAGCTTCAGTGTATCTTGCATATTCCCGGGACATATCCCGCGCAAGGACGGCCGTCTATCAAAGTCACCAATCCTGAAATGGGCAGTGCGTTTCAGGAAAATATCTCAAGAGGATTCGATGATATAGTCGATAGCACTATCAGAAGTGGCAGTCGTGGGACCTTGCTCAGCTGGATGAACAGTCTCGATCGGCATTTGGAGCGTTTGCTCACTACTACGGAACGGGGGCCTACGTTGAAGTTCGTGCCTAACGTGGGCGGCAAAGGGAAGCCAGAGGAGCAGAAGCTAGTGTCAAAGATGAGTTCTCTAGCTGTGTCTTCTGGGAAGGAGACCAACTCAACTCAGGTGGAAGCAGCGAGCCCTCAGCCTCCGAAACCCGTATACACCGCGGAAGAGAAGGCTCAGGCGGAGAAAAGAAGAACAGTTGAGACGAAGCAACTTGACGCTCGTCTGGGAAGGCTGCCTCTTTTTCAAAAGTCCAGCGACGGTCTGTCGTTCGTTATCCCAATCCAACCGACTAAGCTAGATCGTCTGCCTATTTCTGTTCGCTCCGTCAAGACAGTGAAGCTCCTAGTGCCTAGCTTGTATCCTCTTGAACCGAGCACTGTTCATTTGCAGGGCATTGATAGCCCAGAAGGACGAGCTGTGGAAGCTGGCTTCTCGCAGTGGCTTGAAGGGAACAAACAGTTGAATCTTGTGTCGCAAGTGAACTACTTGACCAGCAATATGCATAAATTCGCCAAAACACCGCTGAAAGCCCCTGAACCAGCTCCTGTGCCCGTGGTATCTGATGATATAGTACCCAGCGAGCCTCCATCTCAGGCAGAAGGAGTGACATTGGAAGATAAACCACACGTTCACGTTGTGCCCCGCCCTCCTGAATGGGCAGTGGGCGATAACGGTAATGACACTGACGACTCAGAGATGACTCCGTCTGAGGATGGGTTTTCTGACGACGATGAGGAAGAAGGCGGGGCTCCCGTTCCAGATCTTCCGGAGCCTACGACGACCGAGCGTGGTGTCGCCCTCTCTTTCCCTTTTCTGGAGCTCTACGGAATCGAGCTTTTGGAGCTTGTAGGTCTCTACATCACCATTAAGTGCGATCGATGCAAGGAGCAATTGGATGTCAGAAATATTCCACAGATCAAGGACAAGAGTGATGAATTGTCTCCCAAGATCGAGAGTTGCAAGAAATGCGCAAATACCATGAGTCTTGGTAGGTACACCACATGTCGTCAATATAGTGTATGAATCATTGGGAGTTAACATGCCTCCAGGGTTCCGTCGACAGCTTATGCATCCTAGCGCCACTCGTGCGGGCTATCTTGACTTGGATGGGTGCACAGTCGTGGATCTTCTGCCTAGGTAAGTTGGATCGGATGACAGCTTCGACATTGTGCCCACTAAGAACGCTGACAACCTCTGCAGTAGCTTTATCCCGACCTGTGCAGAATGCTCAACAGCGTTTCCCGCGCCTGGTGTTGTTGCAGTTCGAGGCGAAAGTGCCATGGCGAATTGCCGACAATGTCACCGCAAAATGGGTATGTGTTGGATCGCGTAAACACAGACCAACCGCTTACAACTACAGTCATGAAAATTCCCGAAGTCAAGTTTCTGAAAGTGGGGTCGGCAGCATGTGAGTTCTCCATGAGATGAATGTTGACAGAATGCTGACAGCTATCGGACAGATTCATCTCGTTTCCGCGAGCCTCCACGGAAGAAGGTAATCCGCTACAATAATATCTTTCCTCTGAATTATGCTAATCGTCATCGACAGCCCAAGGAAGTTCTCGGCATTGTTGCTGGTCAAGAATTGCCTCGTCGTGGCCGCTGTACGCACTACGGCAAGAGTTATCGGTGGTTCAGGTAATACCCATCATGCAGGTGCTTCATTGATATTCTCTAACAATAAAATAGATTCAGCTGCTGTGCGAAGGTCTTCCCTTGCGATAAGTACGAGAAATCATGCTGGCTTCCCATGTCAAAGCTAATATAAGCAGATGCCACGATGCCGCTACAGACCATCCCAATGAGCATGCTAACCGTATGATTTGGTATGTGCCCTCAATCCTGACATAGTCTACAAAGCGATCCTAACGACTACAGCGGCTTCTGCTCACGAGAGCAAATCTACCGTCCCGAAAATTGCGGAATATGCCGAGCTGTGCTGATTGGCAAAGCCGGTAGCGGATTCTGGGAGGGCGGAAAAGGAACGAGAAACAGAGTACTTATGAGTCGGAAGGGTATGTTCGGATTCATATCTATGTTCATTTCAGATGACTGACAATCGATATAGATCCACGTAAATACAAGCGTCGTGGGGGAACAACACCAGGCGGTGCCAGTTCCTCGAAGAAGTAGTATACTAGCGACACGATGAATGAAAATATATTCCCACGTGGGAGATGCATATATCTCCTGTAGAGGCCGCATACAACCAGAGGATAATGTGTATGCTACTGCACAGAAAGCTCAGGCAGGCACCTTTCCCAACTTAGCCTTACCACAGTAGACCAGACAATATCGCCTGCTGACAACCCAGGAGTAGCACATAAACAGCCGTCAACGATCTGATAAGATAGATAGATGGATAGATAACCCACGAATCGGCCAAAGGAGCCCTGGAAGTGAGTCTCAATGACACGCTATCCCAGTCTTTGATATCTGTGTTCTCATACGAAGTAAACAGCAAGTTCTTCAACCAAGCCAAAAATAAAAATAAATCAAAGACATGAATAAAACCACTACTGTACTTTAGCTAGAAGCTACGGGCATGAGGAGAGAAAAGAAAAACAAAAAAGAAATGATCAAGCTCCGATAGGGGGAATCGAACCCCCGGCTGCCGTGTGAGAGACGGCGATGTTAGCCACTACACCATATCGGATTCTTGTTGAAGAATATCACTTTCTTTGCCTAGAAGAGGAGTAACTGTTACTACTACAAAAACTTGTGCGAGGGCACATATACATACAGTTAAAAGATTCCACAATCTTTCACACTTGCCGAACATATTGTATGTGTTTTAAAGCGACTACATGATAATTGTTGTTATTATCAATATACCTCGTATTAATCGAACTACCCCATTAATTGATAGAATAAATTAAAGACTCAATAAATAACGGATTGGTTACACAGTATCCCGAATCGTTCTTTACTTGAAGTATTGTTTGTTGTTTGGGTTCAACTAGTCCAGTTCAATCCAGTACAGTACTAGTAAGTCCAAAGAACATGAAAAATATAAAAACTAGCAATCAATGTACTTGGCAACCTGGCCGAATTGTACACCATCCCCTTCAAATAACTGTCTTGCAGTTCTTGTACTAAGAATTAAAAATAAAAAGAATCAGACGAGGTTACCACGCAGAGCCTGTTCCCTCTCAAGTGCCTCAAACAGCGACTTGAAGTTGCCAGCACCGAAGCCGCTGAAGTTGTGGCGTTGGATGATTTCGATGAAGACGGTTGGGCGGTCCATTAGGTGCTATATCATATTCATTGGTATATTGCATTGAATTATTTAAGTGGGAAAATGGTGCACATACCTTAGTGAAAAGCTGGAGCAAATACCCGCCCTCATCGAAATCGATGAGAATGTCAAGGTTGCGGATGGTCTCAAAGTCCTCGTGCAGAACCAAGCCCGTCTTCTTGAGACGGATCTTGATGTCCTCATAATACGTGTCGGGGACCTTGATAAATTCGACTCCGCGTGCCTTGAGGTTGGTGATGTCCCGGATGATGTCGTCGGTCAGGAGTGCAATGTGCTGCACACCGGCGCCGTTGTAGTAGTCCACGTACTCTTCAATCTGGGACTTCTTCTTGCCGACGGCGGGCTCGTTGATGGGCATCTTGACGACTTCGTTAGGAGAGGCCATGACGATGGACTTGAGTGCAGAGTATTCGCTGTCATCTCGTGAGTTTACGGTTTCAGAGGAAAAGTATGTGGATAGTATGGGGTCACTCACGTGCAGATGTCCTTGTCGTCGACGGACCAGAAACGGTGGAAGCCAAGGGCCTTCTCGTAACTGTTGCATAATGGTCAGCACGCCCTCTCGTGAAATAATAGGTTGTTAACTTACTATTGGCAGACACGGTCCATCTCATCCCAGTCTTGGTTACCGACGCAGTGGTCGACACGGTTCAAATATACACCGGGCAAATACTTGGTGATAGGGTCCTCGGGCCCATCCTCAACACGATACCCGGGCAGGAACGCGCCAGAATATGACTTGCGCTCCAGAAGGGTGTGGGTAGTCTCTCCATACGTCTGGATAGTCGCAACCCGAACGTACCCGTCCTTATCTTCGAGGCTGCGTGGAGCAGACACAATCTTGGCACCGTTGGCCACGGCTGCTTGATATACTGCGTCGACGGAGTCAACTTCGAAGGAGACGTCCTTGACGCCGTCACCGTGCTGTTCGAGGTGCTCGTGGATCTCGCGGAGCTGCTTCTGCTCTTCAGGAGTGAGGAGTTCCATTTGGTCGAGGGAGCGGAGAGGAGAGGTCAGGACGAAGGTGATGTCGCCGTTGCGGACAACGTGAGAGCAGATGGCACGGCTGCCGGTTTCGAGGCCGCGATATGCGACCCGCTTGAAGCCCATGCGAGTGACATAATATGAGGCGGTGATTTTGGCGTTGCCGACGTACCAGTGGACGTGGTCATACCCCTTATAGCTGGAGATATCGGAGGTGGTAGCGGTAGCTGGTTGGGGGGAGGGAGGAGAGGAGATTGCGCTGGGTGCCATGGTGATGGGGAGTGTATGTTGTATGAAGAACAGCAACGAGATTCTATAATACTTGGGTATAGAAGAGAGAGGTATCAAAGGGAAATATTATGTATCATGAAGAGGAATGCGCCTGGCTACTTAGGGTCTACTTTCAGAGAGGTGAAAGGGGTCCCGGGACCATCTTTATAAGTCCGGATGAGAGCGGGCCCTTGACACAGTCAATAGTTATCGGGAGGGTCCGTTTCCAGAAGAAATACTCAAAGAATCGGCCATGAATCATAATTACATTGTTTTGGGAAAGAGTAGAGGATAGGCAAGCAGTAGCAGCTTACAGGACGCCAGGATAGTAAACCAGCCGGGCCGGATGTCGTCGGTTGACCCCGGAGAAGCCCGGCTGTCGGCGGGTATTTCGACTCCCACGGAACATCCGCTGCCTCGTTTACATCATGAGAACATCCACTCCGATGCATGCGGTGATTGCCACGGTCCCTGGTTTTGGATCTAGTTATAAGATAGGCTTTGATAAGCTCCGTCCACATGGCTCCGCGGACTATCGGTGAGCGTAGGTTAACTCAAATACCAACGATTGTTCACCATTTTCGGTGTCACCGATAGCAAGCATCCTCGCTACGAACAATACCTTATTATCAGCTACATCCCCTTTACCTCAATATACATTCCAAAACTACAGATAACTCAATATTCCAAAGTCCCGCGAAGGCGATAAGCAAAATGACCCCAAACCCAACGGCTAAACCCAACCTTACCACCAACGACTCCGCCGTTCTCCAAGCTCTTTTCGACGCTGAATCCTCCCCCTCCAACTCTATCACCATTAATTCTTCTCTCCCCGCCTATCCAGCCCACCCCAACATCACCCCAGAACTCCTCCAGACCCTGCAATCTCGCGAGGTCTCTATAATCCGTACCCTACAATCCGAAACCACCCTGGACATCTCAACCATCCAACAAGCGATTAAGGATCTCGATACCCTTATCGCCCAACATCCGACTTACCCATCCGCATACGTCAACCGCGCTCAAACTCTCCGTATTCTAATTGACAAGACCAATACTACCACTGAGAGCAGCGGTCAAGACAATGACGACGACAAGATCTTTGCTCCCGAAAACACAGAGCCCGCATCCACATTACTAGCAGACCTAGGGAACGCCATTACGCTAGCGACGCCTCGGTCGCCTGCTGATCCGGTGTCGACGGTCCAGGCGCGCTTGTTGGCGGATGCGCATACGCATCGCGGGTATTTGCTACTTAAAGCGGCGAGAGTGAAGAAGGAGAGGAAGGAGGGGGAAATTATTGGTGGCCCGGAACAGTTGCGTGCCGTGGAGCCGGAGCAGTTGGAGGATATGGCTAGTCGCGATTTCTTCTTTGGGGGCAGGTATGGAAATAAGGTTGCACAGCAGTTGGCAGTGCAGACGAATCCGTATGCGAAGATGTGTGGGGCGATTGTGAAGGAGGCTTTGAGGAAGGAGGTTGTGGGTGATGATGTGGTGAAGATTTGATTTATTTGCTCAGATTAGCTGATTTGGGTGCTTTGGTGGTGTGCAGTTTCGTTTTGGATGCTTGTTACAGTCGTGTCTTACAATTCGTCAATTTTGTCTCACATACCCAGATGAACGCGGATAGATGTTTTAAACTCTCCATTCGGCTATGACTGAATACTACTACTACACTGGTATCTGAAAAATGCCTTCGCTTTTCGTAACTTCGTCGAATCAGTGCTTAATGGTCGTCCTTGCACATTGTGTCCACGGAATTGTTCGGGTTCCGGAAATGCCTCTGCAGCGGTTGCCAGCTGTGTGCGTTGTATTGTTCTTGCACTTTCTGACAGGTCTTCAGGCCCCATTCAGACACGCCGACCATGAGACAGCTATTAAGGAATTAGCTGATGTTGACTTGAACTACAAGTTTGCTTACCTCTCAAACATAAAGGCCATGCTGCCGTCGCCGACCTTTTGCGGCTTCAAATCAGCATTGCTAGCACCTTCAAAGGCGTCCTTGTCCGGACCGTGGGCGCTCATCACATTGTGCAAACTGGCGCCCGCCGGTTGAAAGCCTCCACCAGTCTTGGCATCATAAGCACCGCAGATCAAACCCATAAATTCAGACATGGTGTTGCGGTGATACCATGGCGGGCGGAATGTGTTCTCCGCCACCAGCCAGCGGGGCGGGAAGATAACAAAATCGGCAATGGCAGTGCCGTTGTGGTCGGACGGGCCAGTGAGGACGGTGAAGATGGACGGGTCCGGGTGGTCGAAAGAGATAGAACCGATCGTGTTGAAACGGCCCAAATCGTACTTGTAAGGGTAGTAGTTTCCGTGCCAAGCAACAATGTCGAATGGGGTGTGGTTCTGACGGGCGGAGAAGAGCGTATTGTTGAACTTGCTGTACAGACGGAATTCAGATGGCTCTTCCTCGTCTTCAAAGTAGGCCACCGGCGCTTGGAAGTCTCGCGCGTTGGCAAGGCAGTTGGATCCGATGGGTCCCAGTTCGGGAAGCTGGTAGTGGCCCTGATAGAGCTCACAGATGTATCCCCTCACCGGTCCTGCCGGAAGAGTCACACGGTATCTGTAGAGCATCAGTAAAAGTTCTTCTACAAAAATGACATGTAAGTCTCCGTTCTCACCTCACACCACGAGGAATCACGCAGATCTCATTGGGCCGAACCAGGAGGCGTCCCAATTCAGTCTGGATATCTAGCACACCGTGCTGCGGCACGATCAAAAAATCGCCGTCAGCAGAGTAGAAGGCTTCCTTCCCCATGTCTTTGCCCGCAGCGTATAGAATTATGCCCAGGCCATGTTTGAGAGTTGGATCACCAGCACCAGCAACAAGGTGAAGACCGTGGACCCAGTCCACAGTCTCATCCAAGTCGAAGGGATCCCACCGAAGCTGGTTTGGGATGTGGTGAAGCTTTTGTGTTTCGGTGGTCATGTGGGTGTGGTATGAGTCGCCATCTTCGGCCACAAAATTCTGGTGAGCAGCCGCGGGGAGGATTCGGTACACCCAAGTCTGTCTATTCTCATGTCTAGGGGCAGTAAAAGCTGTCCCCGAGAGCTTCTCAGCATAGAGCCCATAAGGCACCTTCTGTGGCGAGTTCTGTCCTATAGGCAGAGCTCCCTTGACAGCCTCCGACCTAGTAGTAGGAATCAGTCAGACTTGACATCGACAAGCGCCACCCAGAGACCCCTGCTTCCTAGCACTCACTCATGGTACGAGTCAAAGCCGTTCTGGTAGGAATATGGATCAGCGTGTTTGAAGTTAGTGACGGGCATGGTGGGTAGCTGTTCAGTGGTTCAGTCTCTATGACTGCTTCACTACACAAAGCGTTCCTGAGCCAAGGAGGTTATATAAGAGTGGATTAGCTTGTACAACTCGCACGCTCTCCCCTGGTCATGTGCATGGGTGGCGGGGGGCAGCACGGGATTGGAATGCGCCATCGGCAAGGCCACCAAAAGCCATTCAATTTCCGGGAGATTCGCGGGATTCGGTGTTCCTGGAGCAAATTGGGAAAACCGGGGATTTGCGGGGGTGCGGAATTGGGGCCGGCGGGGAAGCTGAACTGCCCGCGCCGGCCGGCAATAAGCGGGCGCGGAGTCCATTCCGCTGCCCTCCTCTCCTCCATCGGAACCCCTCGAGGGGTAGTTGTTACAGGATTCGTTTTTAACATCGGCATCGCAGTTGTCTCGGTGTTGCTGCTGGATAGCTACTGACTACTTGCATTTCCCTTCTTTTCATCATTTCTCCCGTCCTTAACCGCCTCCCTTCTCATCATGGCTTCCTGGCTGCAGATCCCCAAGAACTCGCCATTCTCGTTGGCGAACATTCCATTCGGTATCATCACCTCTGCGAAAGCTCCTTCGCGCGTAGCAGCTATTGCTATCGGTGACTATGCGCTGAACCTGAACGCCTTTGCTTCATCCGGCGGCTTCTCCCAGCTGCCCGCGATCCAGCCCCATTTGAACGTGTTCAGCCAACCCACCCTCAATGCCTTTGCAGCCCTGGGCCGTCCAGTTCACCGTCAAGTCCGCGAATACATTCAGTCCGTTTTCCGCGCAGATACTCCTTTCCCTCAGGTCTTGAAAGACAATGACTCCCTCCAAAAGTTGGCCCTCCTGCCGCTATCGGAGGTGACCAACCATCTTCCCATGCAAATCGGAGACTACACAGACTTCTATGCCGGCCTCAACCACGCCTACAACCTGGGTGTCTTGCTTCGTGGACCAGACAATGCTCTGCAGCCCAACTATAAGCACCTGCCAGTCGCATACCACGGTCGCGCCTCGTCCATCGTGGTCTCAGGCACCCCCATTCACCGTCCCAACGGTCAAATCCTGGCCAACCCTACCGCAACCCCCAAAGTCCCTACCTTCTCTCCTTGCAAGAGACTCGACATTGAACTAGAGATGGCTGCTTTTGTCAGCACCCCTAATGACATGGGCAAGCCCGTCTCTGTCAACAACGCCGAAGACCACATCTTCGGCTTGGTGCTCATGAACGACTGGTCCGCTCGTGACATCCAGGCCTGGGAATACGTTCCTCTGGGACCGTTCAACGCCAAGAACTTTGCAACCACCATCACCCCCTGGGTTGTCCTGATCGACGCTCTAGAACCCTTCCGGGTCCCCAGCCTGGAGCCCGAAAACCGGGAAAACGTCCTGCCCTACCTGCGCGAGAAGCGCACCGACAACGTCTTCGACATTCCCCTCGAATTCGAGATCACCAACCAAGGCGGCCAGCCTACCACCGTCTCGCGAAGCAACGCCAAGAACCTCTTGTTCTCCTTCCCTCAGATGCTGGCCCACCACACCATCACGGGATGCAACCTCCGGCCCGGTGACTTGCTCGGTAGTGGAACCATCTCCGGCACGGAGCCCCAGACACAGGGCAGCTTGTTCGAGCAAACCAAGGGCAAGGAGCCTCTCAAGCTGGCCGATGGTTCGGAGCGGATATTCCTCGAAGACGGAGACACCGTCGTCCTCAGAGGCAAGGCGGGCACAGAGGGCAACTACGTCGGATTTGGCGACTGCAGTGCCACCATTCTCCCTGCGGTGAAGCTGGAGTTCTAGACTGCAATTAGCAATTTTTAGTCCCTTATCGCACGATCGCACGTCATGAATCCCATTGCCTATTATATTCCTCGATATTGACATG